AGATGAAGTCAGGGCTTTGCTGCAGCTCGTCTGCCCTCAGGAAAGCAAAACCGCCACCCCCTTAGAAGCTGGTGAGTCACTGCGGTGGGAGTTGTGTGCTTATTGACTGATCCAGGAGGTATTGGAAATCAATCTCTCTCTCTCTCACGCACACTCTACTCCCCCGCTCGCCTGTGAATGGAAACCGCTGGGCTCTGCGGAGACCACGGTTGCCACGTCCAAAGGTGGACTGGGTGGGCTGGCGTATTGACCGATGCAAATGGGCCCCCTGGCTGCTCTCTGTGCCTCCGCCCACCCTTCCACGTCATGCAAGCCGACCCCGTGCTGGCGTCACCGGGGCCCCGTGGCCAGAAAGCCGGTCGGGAAAATGCAGGCTGACTGTCCCGCGCCCCACCCCCCCGCCCCTCGGTCTCTGGTCCCCCAGCTACTGTGAGGCTTTCAGACAACAAGGCCTGAGCTTGGCTTCACACCACAGGTCCAGACACGGGGGGCCTTCGGTCCGTGGCAGGCCCTACGCATCCCTTGGTGCCACGGCTGCCATCTCAAAACATGAGCAGTCTTTAAAAGGTTCTTTCGAAATAAATGAATTAATAAAATAAAACAAAAGGTCTCTCCATGAAATAAGGCAGAAGCTTCAGGGTGATGAGGTTACGCCCCACCCCGCCCCGGGGGTGGGGGACAATTTGGGAAAGGAGGGAGAGGCTGGTGCGCAGCTTGAAGCCCGTCAGCGGGAGCATTGAATGGGGCACGTAGGGGTGTTCTCATCGACAATGGGGAGAAAACTAAGGGTGTACCACCCTGTGCCAGGGGTGCCCTTCAGGCCCGATGCCTCATGAGCGTTTCGTGGGAGAGGAAGAGTGTTCTGTCCAGCAGGGGCGGGCTGGAGGCATTACAGCTGCCCAGTCGGCCCTCAAGGGAGGACGGCAGGGAAGTGGGGCGGGCAGGGGCATGCTACCTGGTACAAGGCCACCCAGGCGAGGAAGAGGAAGATGTAGACGATCTTGTACACCACCACCTTGCCGTCGAAGCTGATGACGAAGAACATGGAGCCACAGACATAGATCCAGTACTTCGCCAAGAGGCCCCGGAGGAAGGGGCCCAGCACGTCCACCAGGAGGCTGGTGGCGCTGGGAGGAGCTGGGGGGAGGGGAGGGCACAGGGGGAGCCATCAGGGCTGGTGTTGGATGGGCTCCTTGCCCCCACAGACGTGCCCACCCTCTGCTCAGCCCCTTGTCACACCCAAAGGTGATGTGAGCATCTCTCTGGAGTCTCCCCTCCCTGCGTGTGGGCTGCTGGCTGCTCTCAGGGAGCAGGAGGAAGGGGCAGGCAGGGCTCAGGGAAGGGGTAGCAGAGGGCTGTTTCTCTCACAGCCGGCTATATCCTCAATGACTACAGGAGGTAGGACATGACACTCTTAGAGCTACAAGCCTAGAGAGTAAGAGTAGACAAGCAGGCCCAAACCAAGGGACCAGAGAGGCGAGGGCTTCCTCCAAGTCCTCCCACTCAGAGGTGATGGCCTATCCCCAGAAGCAGGGACAGTAGCTCAGAGGCAGCTATGACCAGAGCGTTACAGACCCGACACTTGGACAAAGCCCAGGACAAGGGACTGTTGCCGGGCACCTCTCCAGATGAGGGGTTACCAATGACCTGGGTCCCCTAGGGACAACCTTGATCCCAGCCAGGGAAGGCAGGCAGGGATCAGGGACTCATGGGGGGGGGGGTGCAAGTCTCCCAAGCCCTGGGGTCTCCAGGAAGACAGAGAAGGATAAAGCAGGCACACAAATGTTCGGTGAAGGGGGCGCTGCCTGGAGGCAGGGCCAAGGGGCAGTGGGAGGGTCCTCACCAAGTGCTGACCCTGCTTTTCCGCTTGGAGCCTTGGCCACCACCTCCGCCAGGACCTGCCTCTCCAGGACCCGCTGCCGCAGCAGAAGCCAGAATACCGATGCATAGAGGCTCTGCAGTGAGATGTGAACCAGTGTCATGGGTGGGGAGGATGTGCCTGTCCCGACTTCTCTCAGGACTGTCTGTGAAAGGGGCCTCGGCAGCCCAGAGATGACTGTCCGTGTCCGGGAGCATGTCTGGCCCATGTCCCCTGTGTGAATCCCCACTGGTTCCCCAGGTATTAGGGCATGAAGGGGATGACGGTGGTCCCTCCCTCTTCCAAAGGGGAAAATGGTGCCCAGAGCACACACACACACACACACACACACACACACACTCAGACCTCTGGTCCCAGCACACAGCTCCCTCCTGCCCCCCACATCCCTGTGGCCAGCCCAGAAGGTGGCTCTTCTGAAGAGGACAATCTCTTTGGGCCCCGCCCCCAGAGCCCCGTTGTTCCCACCATGGATGCAGGAAGACCTGAGACCCTACTTTGAGGCCAAGGTGAAGACACGGCTGGGGGTAGGGCTTGAGGTCCAGGTCGGCAAGCAGCCAGTCAGGGGCCCCGGGGAACAGCTCCTCCTGGGACAGGCGCAGCCCCGCGTAGAAGTTGAGGAGGACCAGGAGGTTGGCGTAGAGGACCAGGCCAGGTGCGCTGAGCAGGGCCAGGGAGCGGCGGTCTCGGGCCATCCAGATGACACAGGCCCAGAGCAGCAGGACAAAGGTCAGCCAGCTGTTGTGCGTGATGCTCCACACCTGGGGCAAGGAGGCACCAGGTTCCTGCTCACACCTCAGGGTCAGGCATCTCCCGATCCAGCCTCCGGCCCCCGGGAAAGGGTCTCCTCTGTGGTACTCCCACTCATGCACATCCACAGTCCTCCACGCCACTTTGGAGTTAAGACACGAATCAGGTGCCTGTTGCCCCCAGGGAGTGGCTAGATAGCACCCAAGTCTCCTAAACTTCAAGGTCTTCACCTCTGTCCCCAACCCAACACGGGGAGTGAAAGAAGGAGTATGAACATGAGACCCAGCCCGCCTGCCTGGACGCACCACGTGCAGGGAGCCTTTCCCCAGTGAGCTTCCTTTGTGGTGGACGGGAGCCTGGTGCTCCCAGCCACACAGAGGAGCAGAAGGTGGAGCTTGATGCAAAAAAAAACACCAACAAAATGAAATGAGAAATTAACAAGGTAAACAAAACTGGAAAATACACAGATGTGTGTAAAGTCACTAACATTTAACCAAGCAAGCAGTGGGCCAAGGAAGAAACCAGACAGCATCCAACGACTATTTAGGGCTCATTGAAAGGGGCCCAAGTCCATCCAAAGGGGGAAGAAACAGCCTCATTAACAATTGTTGCTGGAAAAACTGGATACCTACATTCAGAAACAACGAAACAGGATCCATACCTTACACCATCCACACACAAAAGAAAACGAACTCCAAACGGAACAAGGATGTCAAAGTTAAAGCCAAAACGATGGAGCTCCTGGGAGGAAATACAGTGCAAAACTACGGGACCAAGTTTTTCAGAAATATGCCGTCAAACACAACTACACAGGCATGAACAAGAACTACTAGACAAATGAGGCCTCCTAAAGATTAAACATCGGTGCTCATGCCCCGGCTTTATCAAAAGAACCCACAGAATGGGAACGACGTCTCTGAGGAGGGTCTAGTTCCTTAAACACACAGAAACCTCCAACAACTCCGCAGGAAAAAGACAAAGCGCTCAAGGAACAGATGGTAAAAGGCAAGAATTGAGACTTCTCCAAAGGGGACAGTCGAGTAGCCAACGA